GCTATTATACAATCTCCACTCCAAGTTTCTGTCCAATCTTTTCCACTAACCACCTTCAAATCAAACCCTACCTTCTACTAGAATCAGTCTCAATAGTTTTAGTTCACTTTGACACCACTGGTTTTGCTCCATCTTGTTTCACCAACCATATGACATGGTGATTTGAGAAATGAAGTCCTTGTCGACCAAAATCCATCCACTAGCACCAAACAAATGGCAAAAGGACAGAGTCAAATGAATATCTTAGATTCTTAATCATTAATACATCACTCTGTTTTTTTCAAAGCTTATCAAACACCTTTTGTCAACTCAAATTCCTGTTGGTGTCTTCTTATTGGAGCTTCTCTTGCTTCCTTTGATTTATATAAATGTTCATAATTCCAAATTGATGTGTAACTTTCTTTTCTACGAAACAGTTATATCATACAAAAAGCTGTCACACTACAAACTATTTTCTGAACAAGTCAAGATGGTTCCAATTTTATCCTTTTTTCTTCTGAATAAGTCAAAAGATAGTTATGTTCTACTGGGATATTCAAGCAAGTGCCCCCTTTTAAGTCTATCTTTTAAGAGAAAATAAGAAAATGCAGTCTCTGTGTATGTGTGCACAAATAGTTGCGACATAGATGTGTTTTGACATTTACTAGCCAAAAAGAAAGAAGAAGTAGGCAACTTGGTTAGAAGAAATAAACTAATGTTAACGGTTGGAGGTGGATATGGTTGAAGTAAACTAATGTCCACTGGGCTATTTTCTGTTATATATATAAAAGGTTTGAATTTTCCAAAGAGAGAGAGAGAGAAAGTAAACAGTAAGTTGGAGGAACACAGAAGAAGTCCAATGGGGGAAGAGACTTGAACAAACTGTTAATTGCCTTGTAAACGCTTCCAACACTCAAGCAATCACATTTAAATAAGGCAGCAAAAACCACCAACTAGGGGTTATTTATAGTTCCATTTTGAGTTTTTCAAACTCATCCTTGCTTGTATTTGTATTAAACTTCC